CTGTGTTTGTGTCTGTATCTGTGTCTGTGTTTGTGTCTGTATCTGTGTCTGTGTTTGTGTCTGTGTTTGTGTCTGTGTTTGTGTCTGTGTTTGTGTCTGTGATTGTGTCTGTATCTGTGTCTGTGTTTGTGTCTGTGTTGTGTCTGTGTCTGTATCTGTGTCTGTGATTGTGTCTGTGTCTGTGTCTGTGTTTGTGTCTGTATCTGTGTCTGTGATTGTGTCTGTATCTGTGTCTGTGATTGTGTCTGTATCTGTGTCTGTGATTGTGTCTGTATCTGTGTCTGTGTCTGTGTTTGTGTCTGTATCTGTGTCTGTGATTGTGTCTGTATCTGTGTCTGTGTCTGTGTCTGTGTTTGTGTCTGTATCTGTGTCTGTGATTGTGTCTGTATCTGTGTCTGTGATTGTGTCTGTATCTGTGTCTGTGTCTGTGTTTGTGTCTGTATCTGTGTCTGTATCTGTGTCTGTGATTGTGTCTGTATCTGTGTCTGTGTTTGTGTCTGTGTTTGTGTCTGTGTTTGTGTCTGTGTTTGTGTCTGTGTTTGTGTCTGTGTCTGTGTCTGTGTTTGTGTCTGTATCTGTGTCTGTATCTGTGTCTGTGATTGTGTCTGTGTCTGTGTCTGTGTCTGTGTGTATCTGTGTCTGTATCTGTGTCTGTGATTGTGTCTGTGTCTGTGTCTGTGTTTGTGTCTGTGTCTGTGTTTGTGTCTGTGTCTGTTTTTGTGTTTGCGCTTGTGTGTGTGCTTTTGTGTTTATGTGTGTGCTTAGGTGTTTGTGTTTGTGTGTGTGTGTGCTTTTGTGTTTGTGTGTGTTTATTTGTGTTTGTGTGTGTGTTTATTTGTGTTTGTGTTTGTTGGTGTTTGTCTTTGTTTCCTTTTCTTTGTTTATGTTTGGGGTTGTGTTTGTGTACGTGTGGGTGCGTGCGGGTGCGGGGGTGCGGGGTGCTTGGGCGCATGCGTGTGGGTGCGCGTGGGCGTGCGCGTGGGCGTGCGCGTGGGCGTGCGCGTGGGCGTGCGCATGTTGGGCTTGTGGGGGTGTTTGCGTCTTTGCGTTTTTGTGTCTTTACGTCTTTGTGTATTTGTGCTGTTGTGCCTTTGTGTCTTTGTGTTTTTGCGTCCTTTTGACTGTGTGTCTTTGTGACTTTGTGTCATTGCGTCTTTGCGTCTTTGTATTTGTGTCTTTGTGTCTTTGCGTGTTTGTGTCTTTGCGTCTTTGTGTCTTTGTGTCTTTGTGTCTTTATGTGTGTGTGCGTGTGTGCGTGTTTCCGTGTTTGTGTGTTGTTGTGTTTTTGTCTTTGTGTTGGTTATTGGCGTTTGGTGTTTGATTTGGTCGCTGCTGGTTTGTGTTTGTGCTTGTGTTTCCGTTCGTCGGTGCGTATGTCGGTGGCTGGGTGGATGGGGTGGGTGGGCGCGGCTGCATGCGCGCTTGTGTGTGAGTGTGGGTGTTGTTTGAAACAGGTCTGACTGCATCCGTTTCAAATGTAATTAGCAGGTTATTTGTACCCTCAAGCTACCCTCAAGAATTGGATATCGTCCCACATTTTCTGGGTCCAAGGTTACCCACGTTTTTATGGCACCTTTCGGGTCCCAGGGACAATTTAGTCCAACGGACCCCCAAGCCCCTTGGCAACGGGAGGGTTTAGTGCCATAGGTGTCCAATTTGGCGGTCGAGAATAGATGGCGATTTCTGGCGACCTGGTTTCGGGAGAACCTAGCTGGGAAATCCAGCTATTTGCAAACACCGTTGCAGAAATCTACTGTCGTACCATGGCCATTGGGTGCCTGAAGATCCCCGCACCTCCGGTGAAAGACACTTGGGTATGGGTAAAAATGAAGCACCAGGGGACCGCAGGTTTTAGTCCTTGGTTCCATTTACCAGGCTTCCATTTAGGGTACATATTTTTGTTCCACAGCCACCTGGCGTCAGAGAAACCCAAGGATTCTCCGCCTTTAAGGGGACACCCGGCGCTTTTCAGCCAAACGGACGCCTGGGATCGGCCAAATGAGGTCTCAGCTTTGAGGCGTACCAAGCACTGGTGAACATCGCCCCGCGCCTCGGCCTTCCAAAAGGAGGTTCCTGGGACCGGGTTCAATGGTCGTTTGTAGGTCCCAGTGCCCTTCTCCTTTCACGCTTTTTTGGTTGGGAGGGTTCCGTACCTGAGGTGCCCCAGTAGTGCCCTTCTCTCCCCGTTTCTTTTTGGGGGAGGGTTCCCTACTGAAATAGACTACAGAACAAGTTGGTACCAACTTATTCTAACCTCTCTACTGGAGGAATTAGTTTAAGAGCCCTGCACTCCCTTCATTTTTGGTTGGCTCTTCCAAAAGGGAGATGCGAGCCGAGGCAAAGGGCACCAAGTCCCCTTGTCATTCGGAAGCGGACGTCACATGTTTCGGGCATGGTCAAAGTGAAAGTCATGGAAAGCTTACCAAAAGAGGTACCCCCTACTCCAAATACCCGTTTTTCTTTGAAGTTGTTTGTTTCTTGAAACACTTGGTTTCCATCTCATTTTTAGTTGAGGCCATGGATTGTCAGAATCGGGAAACCGGTTTCCCGCAAGAAAACAAAGACAAAACCGAGGGCACCCTCAGCTCAATGAAACACATGGGTTCATGGCCACTGCTCTGAACCACTTGCCGTTCAGGGTCCCTTAAAGGATACATTTGACCCATTCAAGTAGTCCCCCAATTACCAGATGATCTAGAGCATCGAATTGAAAAGCAGGTGGTCTTTGGATGTTTTTTTTGGGGAACCTCCGTTCTTTTTCCCGCCGGACCCTGTGAACCCCATTGATTGCTTGTCTCCAACATGGTGGTAGAGCCTTCCAATGAAACCAGTGGAACCACCTCCAGCACCCGCCCCCAAAAAAGCAACTGCTTGTTCCCATGTCCAAACTCCCAACTGTCCCAAAAGCAGTAGTTGCAGGGGCAGATCTTTTCTATTTAGTCTAGCCTCAACTAGCTTTGCAGAATACCAACCAGAAAAACCCAACCATTGAATTTTGTCCCTTGCACCCCCCAAACTCTCATGGTATGTCTAACTACCCCCTAGCTGACTACCCCCCCCCGGCAAGAATTAGGGATAATCCCTTATTCAGGCCTCATTGACGAACCCCCAGGACCACCTCCACTTCCCAAACCATAGCTTTGCAGAACACCAACCAGAAAAGCCCAACCATTTAAAGCTCAATTTTTCCCCTGCACCCTCCATCCCCCAAACACCCCCTAAAAAATCCCAGGACCACCTCCATCACCTCCCCCAAACGCCCCGCGCACGCCCTGCCACGCGCGTCACTCGCGAGGCTCACCTCCCGGCAGAAGCACCGCCTCGCCGCACAGCTTGCGGCGCGGCTGCCGCAGCTCACAGCGCCGCAGCTGGCGGCGCTGCCCAAGTTGGCGGCCAAGGGACACCTCGCGGACGAGGAGCCGAGGGGAGCGTCCGAAATCGGTGCGGGGTCGGTCCGGTCCGTTTGGTCGTTTTGGGGTCTGGGGCGAATGAAGCTACCATTTGGGTTTAAGTAATGTTTTTTTAATGATTCTTCCATGATGGCTGTAAAGGGAAATGAAGTTTCACTGGACATATGTTCTCGTTTTTGTCTAGGGGACTCAAGCAGATGGATGGTTTTTATCGGTTGGGTGTCTGGTTGGTACTCTCCAAAGCTTTGCAGCATACAATGAATCGACACCCGCACCTTTTTGAAACCATGTTTTGTGGTGTTGTAGGGGAATCCTCATTCCAGGGTTTCTTAAGCGGTGCAGGATTTTGTCCATCCACAGTGTGTGTGTGTGAGGCTGGACAAACCAGAAAACATCTGAAAGTATAGGTGTCCTTTTTTGGTTCGCTTAATTAAAAATAGCTGGCACTGGTTTAGACGGGGTTTCTTCCATTTGCCAGGGCCAGGTATTTGTCCAAAAGGCCACCTATGTCTGAAAGTATGATCTTCTGTCCCCAGTGGGCCAAGGCTTGGGCCCCCCCTTGTGAGACATCACAGAACCTACAACCATGAGGGGATCTTGACAGGAACAATGGGTTATCAAGCCAAGTCTTCGTCACTGTACAGAGGGTGTTTGTTCTGGGAATCTTGAATATTGAATCCATCTAAAAGTGCTTGAAGTGCCTTAGATCGTTTTTTGGGGGGCCCATACTGGATTCAACATTCAAGATCTAGAGACCTGGGAATCTTGAATCTTGAATCTTAGGTCCTAAAGTGCTTTAAAACGCCTTAAAGCATTTTGGGGGTTCACATACTACGTTCAAGATTCAAGATCTAGAGTCCTAGGACTCTTGAATCTTGAATCTTAGATCCAAGAGCGCTTTAAAGCGTCTGCTTTCAGTTATCCTGTTTGGGTGTGCACCTTACTATCCTTTTCGACTTGTGCGCATTAAATACTGTGGATGGTTCAGCATATGGACATTGGATATGTTGCTTACTGACTTAAACTCCACACCAACCCTTGGATATTGAATATACAGTGTAAATACCAGTGTTTGCATGCTGTTTGGCAGGTTTTGTGCAGAACATGTTTTGTCAAGAGAAATTAGTTCTTTTCGCAGATAGCGTGGCATTGGTCAGGGCATTTGAGGTGTGAGCAAATGTTTTGGTATTGGCCAACGTTTGTGAGCTGACAGACGAAGGGGATTTGCAGATGAGTTGAGATGAGAGATGGAGGATGCGTAGCAGATGCTTTGGTATTGCCACAGGTTTGGTTTGGTATTGCACATCAGTTGATCTGATGAGTTCAAGATGCGTGGGCGAAGAAACGAGCTGTGGTTTGCCTTTATGTTTGATGCACTTGTGCCGGTACCCTCACAGAGATCTTTTACAGTACCTGGAGCGAGGATAACATTAGCAATGAAGATTACGCCAAATCAAAATTAATTTTGGACACATTGAGAGACCATCACGATTTTTATTTGCCCGCAGCCCGCAGATGTGATTTTCTTGGCTGACATTTTTGAAAACTACAGAGATGTAGCTGCGACATATTAGACCCTGTATATTCCGACCATTACCCAACTTTGTTTTACACTGTACCAAACTTGGCTTATGATGCTAATTACTTGTGTTGAAATAGATTGTATGATCAAAATATGTATGAAAGGATTGGACAAATATCAAGAGGAGGAATGCCGCAGATAGTTTGTTCAGAACGTAGAAGAGCAATGCTACTTATATGGGTGGCAGAGTCCTAATTCATCAGCTGCGAAAGTCGGCCACGATTGTGAAATGAGCCCACTTCTCTGAATATCTGTCTAACATGACTTGAAACCCTTACACAAGCCGCACGCGCGCGTTTTTTTTTTTTGGGGGGGGGGGCACATATGTATATATATATATATACATATTATAACGAGCCACCCATATTCGAGCCACGTGTTTTGCCAGTTCCCGTGGATTCCAATCGACTCAAGGTCAGTTTCCCCTAGCTTGGTTGCTTGGATTGGTGGGGATGTGAACCCCTGGTAAAGGGGGGGGAAAGCACCCCTTAAGCACCACCAATCCAACCCACCAAAGTTTGGTCTTCAAGGCAAACCAAACCCAGTGGATCCAGCTATCACTATAAGTGGGTAACAAGCCATTTTTCTCTTGGTTTTTAAAGGGTGGTGGGTTTTTTAGGTACCTACTGCACAGGGAAACGGAATCACTGGGAAAAGGAAAACTGAACCCTGAGGTTCAAACTACTCTTAAAACAACGGGGATTACTACAACCACCATTGTTTCCCCTGGGATTGTGAGCATCTAAATGGGGCGAACCATTTTTTACAGGGGGCCAAGGAACCCCCAGGATAACCGGAGCCAGTTTGGAGGGATCGGATTCCGAACCAAAAATCCGCCCGCCGCCCCGCTTCCGAACTCGCAGGAGTTCTTCGCGGCCTCTGCCCAGCGCTTTCAGGAGGCCGAGATTTTCCCTCCACGCGCGGTCGGTCTTTGCGGTGTACCGGACCGGCTGGGGTGGGGAACGGCTCGAGCTCGAGCTGGGTTTTTTCTGGCGTGGGGACAAGACTTGAGGATTTCCAGTCTTGGTCGGATTTTTCAGGATGCCGGGTGGAAATGATTAATTGGTTGTTGATGCTAGTTGGATGTCAAGTTGCCACTTCCTGTGCCAACTAGAAAATATGAAAACCCGTTTGGGCAGACCATGGAAGACCCGATCCACGGAAGTGAGGGGATGGGAAAATCAACCCATGGACACAGTGCTATGGTCAGTGTCAGGGTTCCTCAGGGAACCACACCGAGGGAGCCGCATAAAGGGGCTTTCAGGGGGACCATACCAGAACCATCGAATTACAACTCTCATGTCTGTGTAAATGTGCAAAAAGAGAGAGAGTGAGAGAGGCCTGGGCAAATGTTTCTATGTGCTGGCAGCATGTCCGACATATTATATACACAAAAACAACAATATATATATATATGTTCTATGCCATGAATCATGCCTTTGCCCCATGTCTTAAAGTTTTGTTCATGGGTGAGCTGGCTCTTTGTTTAGCCACAGGGGAATGTCGAGGCCTCAAGGTGTCAAGGTGGTTGTGAGGCCCCAAGGCGCTTACTAACAATTACGAAGCAACTTATGATGATATGCCCACAAGTGTGCTCAGGGCAATGTTTTGCGCGGGTGTGACACAAATGGGTTGCGAGCGAACATTTGCCAATCACGGGCAGAAGGATGGTTTCATAGTAAGGAGCCAAGCTGGTAAATCGATGCTCTTCCTTTTTTACGTAGCAGTCGAAGACTTTTGGTAAAGCACACGTCTCCTTCCGTTCTGCATGGGGGCATGCTGCCAATGTAATTTGGTTGCATCCGCAGGAATCCAGCGAAGAGAGAAGAGCCTGGGAGTTGTTTCCCGAATCTCCCCAAGTCACCCAACCCCAAAGACCCCAAACACCCCAAACACCCAACCCTTCATCCCCCAAACCAAACCCTCCAAACCCCGCAAACAAAATCCAAACCCCAAGCAATTCCGCCAAGTCGCAGCCCCCAAACACCCAACCCCCAAACCAACCCCCAAAGCCTTGGACATGCCTTAGGTGCTTCCGCAGCTCTCCAGCAAGCAGCTGTTCCTCGCCATGCGAGGCTTCCTCCTTTGGCGCCTCGGTCCGTTGGACTTTAAGGCTAGCTTGAGGCTCAACGCCACTCGGGTAGACAAAGGATACATTTTTACATTTTACCAGTGACTTAAATTGGAGCAAGCAATAAAATATACATTCCAGAACTGGGCCTCACTCTAATCATGGCCATCTTTTGTTCTTGGCCCTTTTGTTTCGCCAAATAATGACTTGCAGGGAATTTGTCCAAGTCGAATGATTCGAATGCCCGTCAGGCGCGTGGGGCCTCCCGGCCTCGAACGCAGCGCGCTGCTGCTCGACGAAAGCTGGCGATACGCGCCGGCGCTGCGGGCTCTGCGTGCGCTGGGCAGAGTGGAAGCAGCCCATTTTCGCGCCTGGACGCGGACCTGAGCAATGGTTTCCTTGGGACCCGCTGGGGCTAACGTTGGGATGATCCGCCTGGCAGCACGGATCCTTAGACAAACCGTTATGATTCCTGTTAGAGTCATGACCATAGGCCATGTAAGGTCAATAGTTGCCGACATTTACTGTCGCAGATGGATGACATTGGGCCCTACCCACTGAGATACAATTGCGAAATGGGGCTAGGGGCTATGCCAAAAAACACACACATCTCGTTACACAACAATTATTGACATGTGGTTTATGAAACAAGATTACTTGTAGTCGAGCAGTTGGTCTGCAGAGGACATGGCGAGCCACCCATGGTTTTTGAGTTTCTATCCTCTTTGAGGCTGAAGGCACAGCCAAGGAAAACCGAGGCAACCCCGAAGTTGGAGGCATCCGATGGCTGAAATATCTCGCAATCTACGAAGAGACTTTCCACAGAAACCGATCCCGAACCTCAGGGACGAGGCTCAAAACGTAAATCCCCATGTATATAGATTTGTTTTAAAATAAGGGAAACCCCGCCCCCCAACATGGCGGTTTCCTTTTTGGTTTTCCTTAAACAACAAAACAAAACATGGCAACCACACCAAAAAAAAGAACAACGGCAAATCTGATGTGAGAGGGTCGAAACAACTAGAACTCAACTCGCCACAAGACCCGAGGAACTCAGGATTGCGATCTGGAAGTGGAGGTGGCCCTGTTGGAGGCGCTACAGACCTGCTTGGCACAGCTGCAGTCGCCAAAGATGGAGCGACTCGCTGCGAAGTGGCACGTCGGTTGCGCGTTGACGGTTGATGCCCGGCCTCCTTGTGCTGGGTACGTTTTGTCGCCCTTGATTTGTGCATGTATTCATCTAGGTCCCCCAGTAGTGCCCCTTTGCCATTTTTTGGGGGAGGGTTCCCCTCCTAAAATAGACTACAGAAAAAAGAGTATATACCCTTATTCTAACCTCTCTACTGGAGGACCTTGTCATTCTTGGGTCGGTTTGGGGTTCATTTAGGCTCAGCAAAGGGCCGCCATGTAGGCTGCTGTTGGGTGGGTTAAGGCTGAGCGGGTTTGGGGTTCGCTTGGAGCTGATTTGTGTGCCTGCTCGTTTCTTGATTTTGTGCCCGACCCAGCAACACAAATTCGCATTTCGATGGGGGATTTGTTTGGCCATGAAGCCGCGCATTTGAAGGAGCGCAGTTTCTGCACTTCCTACCCGCAATGGAACGAACCGGGTCGCGACTTTCAGAGGTTGTTAGCAGCCTGACGCGTCGCAGACTGGCAGTTCACTAGTTGGCATTGCCACGAAGCCTTGCTCCAGCCCAATGCTTGAAGTGAGTGAATTGCCCTGGCATGAAAACGCTTTCTCCAACACGGTTTCGTAGGTTCCACCGAGCGGGCAGGAAGCCACCTGTTTGATGATGATGATGATGATGATGATGATGATGATGATGATGATGATGATGATGGTAATGGTGATGGTGATGGTGATGGTGATGTTGATGTTGATGGTGGTGGTGATGATGACGATATGCTGATAATTGTCATCGGCAATCACATGAATACAGCACGGCCCAATAAACACACACACAGACACTCAACAAGAGTCAGCACGAAACATGCAACAGCAATGATCACAGCCACACAACAAGCCAACCACAATGCGAAACACGAATTTCTAGTGTTTAGTTCTCCGTTTGTTCAACCATTGTTCTTTCACGAACCGGCCCTTTTCCCTGGCTTGTGGTGGGTTCTGGAAAACCGATGCCTGGAACAATGACAAGTTACAGTGCCACCAAATGATCGAACTCCAATATAGCAGCCCCAACTAAGGTGCATAAGCACCGACATGCCTTTTCCGACCTTTCGATCTGCGTTTCCCGTCATTCATTTTTGGCCAAGGTCCCACACGCGAACTTGTCATGTCTAAGTCCTTGAGGCAAGTGAGGGGATCTGAGTTTCCAATTGAATATTCATGGGTGGCTGCAAAATTATGGTGGTTTCCCTTCAACCCCCCCCCCCCCACAAAAAGAAGACACACAGATAAAACGGGTAACCCCCCCCCCCCAACCCCCCCCCCAAAAAAAAAGAAAGAAATAAAGAAAAGAGGAACGCAACAAGAAAGGAGAGCCCCACATGCCATTTCGAGTTTGCAGTTGGGTAGCCCCGACCTCAGGCAGCTGCTGGGTGCCCGGGACTTGCTGCTGGCCATGAATGCCTTGGGTCAGATCGCCCGGGGCTGGCAATGGCTGGAAGGCCTCTAACCGCCAAACCAGCCACCTTGCGGGCTCTGAACGTAGATGGCTCGTCTTGTCAGCAGGGTTCAGCCCCGCTTTTTTGTTTTGGTTGTAAGTCGGGAAGCCAAAAGGCTCGAACCGTTGAACCCATTTTGGGACCCGAGCCCCTGAAAGAAAGACACATTTCTCCGTTGTGGTTTTGAAGACCAATCTAAGAAGTTGTTGAAGACTTCCTTATGACTTCCCTGACACGCATTCAAACAAGACGGCCTTTGTTGCTTTGCCGGAGCCCGACAGCTCCCGGTGCGGTAAGTCTCCAAATGTTTTGAAAGGGAAACAAGCAACCAACCAGCACCCCTGCAACCACTTTTAGGACTTGGTAGTTTGGACAGAAAAGTCTGTTGAGTGTTGGAAGTAATTTTGGGAGAACCTCCAAATACCACTTGAAGATGCCCCCCCCCAAAAAAAAAAAACATCTTCCCGCCACTTAAAGGGACCCCCCCCCCACCCAACCCCCCCAAAACCCCCCCCTCCTCCTCCCAGGCGGCGACGAGTTGCGAGTGGCGGCGCGCGCGGAACTCGGCGCCTGCGCTGAGTTCCTTGGAGACCTCGTGAGCCTCGAGCTGCTCGGCCTCCGCAAGCCTCCGCAGCTCCAGCGGTTTCCAACTGAGCATGTTGGAAAAGCTTTGACACCTATCTTAAAGCTTCTGATATGCTCAGTGTTCAATCTGTTAACTTCTTTTTGTGTGGTTTCGTTATACAACATGGTCAGGCCCAAACATATGTTAGGTCAGGGTTTGACCTTTGCCGGGGCAAGTTTCAACTTCGTGTGGGGCCAAACTGCTTAATCACTTGTTCTAGCCATCAAGAAAAGGGTTGTGGGATACAATTATTCCAAGCCACCTCATGATCATGGGAGAATCATGTTTGAAATTATTGAGCCCGTTGTATTCTACATGTTGTGAACCATGGCTAGGGTTCCCTCGGGCGTTTTCTACACTCGGGTTCCCATGGCCAAAATTCATTCTGTGGACCAGCGTGTCCTGGGCTTACAAGTCGCATACTTCGCAGGGGTTGATCACCCGATACAGATGCGTGTTGCCCCCCCCCCCCCCTGTCGGACATGGGAAAGTTGGATGGGGGTAAACTCCGAGGATTGCCAGCATCGAACCCCCTTTTATTGAAGCGCAAGTGACGCAGTGATGATTCATCATCACCATCATCATCATCACCATCATCATCATCATCACCATCATCATCATCACTGGCCCAAAGATTAACAAGTTTTCGCGCAAGTCCCGCGCAAGTCGCGCACAGCCCGCAGATGCCCCCCTACTGCTTGGAGCAGGAAAGGCCCATTTCTGTATTTGGCATTTTCCTTTTTCTGCAGATCCCAGCAATTTTGCCGAGTGAAGACCTCATACTTAAGAAGACTGCCGCTTGGATTTGCAATGAAAACAACGTGGGGTAAGAGTTTTAATACGGGTTTATTTTTCCAGCTCTCTCTCCCTCTCTCTCTCTCTCTCTCTCTCTTTTTGGGCGTACTTGTTTTTGTTCTAATAAGCAAAACCGACACAAGAGCGCAATCCATTTTGCTTTTCCAAAAACCACGAAGGAGTGTTTCCATCGAGAAAAGCCACCCTTTCCACCCTTTTTGTTTGTTTTTTTTATAGGCAAAGCCATGAAGGAAACCACCGAAGCTGATTTTGGTGAGCATCCCCGAAGTTCCCAGACGCGCTGATTTTGAGTCTCCCAGGCTCGAGCTCGAAGGCTTCGCGGACCGGGACCTGGCCCTGTTGCTACTGGCGCTGGCCACCCGACTTTTGAAATTACGAATCGAGTTTTTGCTGAGAGAACTAGCAAGTTGTTTACCATGGAACGTGACCTTCTGGACCCCGTCCCTTTAAAAGGAAAGTGGAAACCAAAAACAGGACCCCCCCAAAAGTTATGTTCCATTTTATACTTGGTGGGAGGGTACTTCAGCGCCGGCTGGTTGCACATTAAATCACTCGAAGTCAGTCTAAATCCCGAATCAGGTTCCACCCTCATCAGCCTAAATCGGTGTTGCACCCTCAGCAGTCCAAATCCATTTTTACCCGGCTGAAAGCTGTGGTGTCTCTGGAGATCTGGAGATCTCGGAGCAGCTCCAAGGTGTTCCATTCAGGTTGGGCTTTCTTGCGCCGAAACCAGGTTCGTCACATATCCAATGCCAGGGTCTCAAACTGGTAGTATTCCTGGCGTGGGCCGCTTTGGTCCATGTCTTTCAAGGTCACAACTCACAACTTTGCTTTTCCCTTGTTGCGAATTTTTGTCAAGGCCACAAATTGGGTTGTCCCAGTTTTGGCCCATCTGGGCCCAAAAAAAGGCTTCCCCCAGTTTGGTCCATTTTGAGCTTAGGCCCATATTCGGACAAGGTAACACATCTGCCTTCCCCACTTTGGTCCACGTTCAGTCAAGGTGTCTGACCCTATGGAATCCCCAAGTGGGTACCATCGGGGGGGAGGTGAGACAGTCCCTTTCAGGTTCCTTGGGGCGGGTTCCTTTCCCTTAGCCTTTTGGACTACCCCCCCCAAGCTGGGCACAGGTCAAGGGAAAGAAGCTGCAATTGTTTGGTGGTTTCCCATGAAACTGACGCATTTGTAGGTCCAAGCAGGGAAGTATCGCCGGTTTTTGAGATCCTTTGGCCAAGGCTCGAGTGGCGCGCCGCACCTCCACGTCGACGGCTTTGGTGCAACTCCTTTGCCAGCGCCTTGAGGACGGATGGAGGGCGTTCGGCCACAGAACACGTTTGGTTGCCCAAAGTGAATCGACTCGAAACGACCGTCTAATCCCGAATGATTAGCGGATTACGGATTGCGCGGTTTACGGATTAGACCGTTTTGGTGTAGGACACCCAACTACATTGTGAGGGAACTGCTTTTCTTCAAGTTTTCAAGGGGTACTTCATTATTAGAATGACACGCTCGACAACCCGAAAATAACACTAGGGCATGTGAAAGGGCCCCAGTGGCCAGGATGGAGTCGTGGATGCCTGGGGCTTTGTCAGGCCCACTTGGAATGGCGATAAGCCGCGCGGATTACGGATTAGGGGGTTTGCCAGCTAAAACGCGGATTAAGCGGGTTCCGGATTGCGATTAGGCCCCCGGGGATTTCGAACAGGCTAGAGTTTTGTTTTTCCCATATTTCGTCAAGGACCCAGAAGGTGATCGCCTCTTATTTCCAGGACCGATCAAGTGAGGTTCATTTCTGTGAAAAGAGGGCCTTCCAAATGGAAGTGTGTGCGTGTGTGTCCACAAAAAATTATGGAAGTCCCTAGGAGTGGGGGAGTCCTTTTTTGGTAGCCTTAATGACCTCGGAGAAGTGGGAACCAATCCCGCTCCTTGCGACGATTTCCTTGCCATATCCGTTTCTGGTGCACTTAGACTGAGCTTTGGAGCCCCTGTAAGGCGAGTTTCCTTTGGTTTAAGGGGACATATACCCAGAGTACAGGAAAACTACTCCCAAAAAAGAGGGCTCCTTAGCAAAAGAGCCGTTCAAAAACCAGTTGTTTTTGACCAGAAGGGACCTCCATGCTGGGTGTAGTGTTCAAGTGGCGAGTCTGACAACCCCTGGTAGAACAAGAAACCAAGACAAAATCCGCTTCGCATCAGTTGGCAATTAGGTGGTTTATCATTACAACTTGTGCAGGAAATTGTGTCCATCCACAGACGTGACGGTAGTACCTTGTCCTTGATGGACACGTACTCCCCTACACATTAACAAGAAACACACAAACCACCATTGGTAGAGGAACTGGGTTGCATATTCCTTTGCAGGGGAGTGATGGGACACATTCACACAATCTGCGCACCCTCAGGTCAAAGCACTTTGTTGTAACCGGCACCTCGGGCGCCGCCGTTCCCGTGCGGCCTCCATTCAAGGCCTTCGGAGGAACTACCTGCGGTATGCTTCCGTTTGCCTAAGAATATGTTTTATTTTCCCTTGTTGGTTTTAAAAAGAACTACTGGACATGTTGTTTTTTCTAGGGATCTTAACCAAAAGAAAGGAGAAGTGTGCAGTTTCACCAGGTTCAGGTCGAAGTCTTGCCCTTGTGTTGCTCAGTTACCAAATGGAAGTATCCCTGTGTCACCAAAGTAACGCATTCGCTCGTTGCTGACCGCCAGGCTGCGGAAGTCACTGAGAAGACCGCGCCGGCGGTGCTCTCCGCAGCACCTCGGCACGGTGAGCCGCGGAGTGCACCCCAAAACATGTTAGTGTTACTAGTCGGGCGCGTTGTTGTTGTTTTTGTTTAGGGAACCTGTTTTTGTTTTTCAGAGGACCCCCGAAAAGGTGATGATCCGTTTGGTTTTCTTTTTGAAAGCCATTAAACATGGGCACCGAGCCTGAAACAGACGAGCCCCTTTTGCGCATTCAACATGTCATGTGCCGGACTCTCTGACCATGGTCCTCCACCAAGAATCCTAGGAGAAGCAGGCAAAAGGCTTTGAGGAACTGGGAGTTGAATTTCATGATTGTTGGGAAGTTGATTCATGAAGGTCCAGTTGATGAATGCGGGAGCGGGGGGCAACACATTCTGAAGGGCATTTGCATCACTTTTGGCGGGAACTGCCAACAACCACTGTGCAGTTTCCGGGTTTTGAAGGCAGACAATTTCAGGATGTGCTGTTGCGCATCAAATTGAAGGCGCTTGTGCTTAAACTTTGACAGCCTCCAACCACCAGCGAATTTCACAAATTTGGGTATGGGTCAAAATTAAACCACTAGGGGCCCGCAGGTTTTAGTCCATGTTTCCATTAACCAGGGTTCATTTTGGGTACCTATCTTTGACCCACACCCAAGTACGGAGGCTACAGTGTGGGAAACCAAGATGGGCAGGTTAAGCTTGAAGAATGACTTGCGCGTCCAAGGGCTGAACCAAGTGAACAACTTGCATAGTCTCTCCAGCGATGCTCCTTCTGAACTTCTAATTTACCGACTTTCCCGTGGCTTGGGTCGCAGAATCTCAGCCTAACAACTATATCGGACGCCATCTTTCTTGGATGCCTAAAGGTAGCATTCCCAGAATGTTTTTACGGTGCCAACCTTTAGACATACGGGTCGGGCTGGGCCTGGGTCAGTCAGGTGCCAAAGGAGCCGGTATCCTTCCAGCCTGGAACACGAAATTGGCCAAAGAGGTGGCTCGTTTCGGACTCGGACCGGGTCCCAAAATGCAAACCACGCCCAGGGCGCGGCTTTCCTGGTTTCCGTCTTAACCCCCCAAGAAACTGGAAAAATTGGTTGCAACTGCAAGAAAGACCACAATCTCGACCCCGTTGCCCCTTCCGGTTGCCTTCCGAACCGTCTTAGGCGTCCATGATGCTCCAGCACTGCGCACGGACCAAACCGCCAGACGCCGCCGGCGAGGCGCTACTTTCCGTCATCATGGCTTGGACCCAAGCGGAGCGCGGCGCGCAGCAACCAGAAGTGCTCCTCAGAGAAATGGCTGTGGGTCAACACCAATGGAACCATTTTGGGGTAGGTGCACCACCCATTTTAGCCTATTTTAGTTGGGATTGGCATGTTCCCTGGGGGTACGATTTGGATGTTGACCCATGGCCAAATTTGTGCGGGGCTTCGAATGAATGGAAGGAAGCCACAGCCCCCTGGGGTGAACAGTTAGCACCATGAAAACAACCGTTGGGTTCATATAACTAGAGGTGTGTAGCGTTCAGGGTTGTCATCCAAATTGGGCCCAAGGCTATTCTTTTGATGGGGGCAAGGAACCCTACAAAAAAGGGGGTCCATTTCCAAAAGGCGGTTCCTCTGCAAATGCAGGGTTTGTTGGGTTCCATGTTAGTCTGTAGGGAAAAACGAGACTGAAGAAGAAATTCCTCACATTCTCCCAAGGGCATGACATAATTTGGTATTGTCCCCAAATCCCCAATTCTGATGTGGCGGTCTTGCTCTTGGTCGGAAGGGAAGTGAGGGTGGCTGGGTGATCGTTGTGCAGGAGCCAGATATGGGTTTGTCTCAAAGTAGGGGATTTCATGGGTGATTGTCTTTTCGTTTCCCTTAACCTTCCAAAAAGTGTGCTGAGTCTCACAAAAGCCACAGCTAGTGGAGCCAGAGGAAGTGGATGATTATTCATGCTATGGCCTCGCCAGTTCGACAGGACCTTTCGACGACCAGACATGCCGCTCCAGGGCTCCATTATTTTTTTGCCACAGTGAATTAAACCAAGGGCTTCCCTTGAAGGAGTACATGACCCAGGCCTAGGTTTAACTCCATTTAAGAGCAACTCAATGACGGAACCCTGTGCACCACGACAGCATGTGCGAACCGCCAGTGGTGCAGTTGCTGCCTTGTATTTCCCGGTGGGATCCCAGCTTAGAAAACCAGCCATCATCCGCTGGTTGTGAAAGAGTGGATTGGTGACCAAGTATACAGGTTTATGGATCCACTAAGTTTGTTTGGGGATTGGGTCGGAAGCCATTTCAATTTCTGGCTGAACACCTTCTTATGCCTGGCATCATCAACTTTCTCAAATAAAAAAGAAAAGAAACGGGTGTCGATCCTTGACCTCCTCTAGTTGGAGGTCATGGGATTGGCATGTGATCCAAATTGTCCAATCTTTGACAAGGCTTTTGGAAACGCAGAGATTACATTTTCAAAATCTCCCCTTTCTGAGATCATTTGTTTACCTCGCGAAACAATCCACGAATTTGTGCTACCATGTTTCTGCGGTTGAGAAAAACATCAGGCCCCAGACGTGCTGTACCGGCGTCGAGTCATGTTAGCAGTTGCGGGGTACCTTGGTGCCTGGAAATTCCCACCATGATTGAAATCTAATCAGGGGACCTGTGGACATCCTGGGGCCATGCGTCTTTTTTGGCGAGTTGGTACCTTTTTTGGCGGCCTCAAAGGGGCGGAGGGGGGGGGAATCACAGTTTGGGGGGGGGGCACCTTAAAACAGACCAGCATGTCCGACTGAGGGGAGGGCATTGATAACTCATAGCTCATAGTCGGTTGAGAATTGCTCCTGTGGCCTTCCTGGAGGCTACCGGTTGAAAAAGCAGTTGCAAGTGGCGGGGGGCTGGTAGATACCCGTTGCTTTGAACGTGACTTTGTGAACACCCTTGATTTTCATGGGACAGTTCTGGCAGGTTGGCATCATTCCCCAAAACAAGGTGGGTATCTGGACTGGGTGCTGGTTTGGTTTCCCTCCAGCCAGTGGTTTTCGCACAACGTGTCTCAGTTCAGTGGCACTCTCGGCTGGTTGCGCAAAGCATGCCCAGTGACTCCCTGAACATTAGGGCCATGCAACCTGTTTGGGGAGTTTGTTGTGCTTGAGGGGCGGGGGTCTCTGTTGTTTGTCCAAGGTTTTGGCCCAATGCGGGCGTGTCGTTGTTAGGGTACCCCTGCAAAATGGTTTGTTTTTTGGTTTCCTTCCCAGAAAGGGTCCCATTGTTTTTTTTTTTTGGTTTGTTTCCCCTGCTTGGTGGGTTTTAAAGGAGCCCCCCCCCCAAAAAAAAAAACATCGAAAGAAGACCGCCACTTTGGGCGGCTCCAAGCGAAAAGAACTCAGACGTTGCACTTTTGTGGGGCTGGAAGGGTTCCGCATTCCGCCCTCGCGAAGCCGAGGTTCAAGGCCCTGGCAGCAGCCGCCGCCTATGCGCAAAGTCGCCAAGGATCGGATCGGATCGGATCGGGGACAGGTTGCCCCAAGCAAAAATCCAGGCTGCGGGGTCAAAGATCGGGTAGCCCCAAGATGGGAAGCCCCCGTGGAAAATGGGTATGGGTCAAAATTAAGCCACCAAAAGACCGCAAGTTTTGGTCCATGTTTCCACTTACCAGGGTTCCATTTGGGGTACCTGGTTTTGACCCACAGCCAAATGGAAACATGGACTGAAACCTGCCCGCTGGTTTTAATTTTCACCCATACTGTACCCATATGTTTCAAATATCTCCACAAAGTGCGGGTGTGGAAAAATTATTTTGCCTTACAACTAGCGCAAGGTGCTTGCGAGATGCTGGATTCCTTGAGTTTCAATGGAAACCATGAGTGATTCGCGACTTTTGAAGAGTTGACCATAGGTGTCCTTTTGATCGTTTGGTTTGGGCAATGAAATTGTTGGGTTCCACTGGTTTACATTGGTTGTATGCCCCATTCACCAGCGAAACCCACCTATTTTTCCAGAAGGTCACCTATTGGGTTGAGCCCTTTAAATCTTGCTAGATGCATCTGTCCTTTTGAAAGACTGGACATGTGCATGGGCAACCCCCCAACTCTCGCCCGAGAGTTCGGGACGAAAGGATGTTACTTGATTTCCTGGTGTGACTCCCTCGCTGAGTTCATGTTCTTACCGTGTTGACTGTAAACATAAAATGTGTTTGGGCTTTTGGTCCGTCCGCTCGATTTCTTCAAGTGAGTCGATTTCAACTTGACTTACTTTGCATTTCTTTGCCTCGGAGTCCGGTTGGAATTGTCAGTCCAAAGCGAATCGACCTGAAATGACCTTTGGGTTTTCCAGTTTTGTACAACCCGGGTAAAACACCTTCTACACCATTTTGCATTTCAGTCATCATCCACAAACGAATTGACCAGAAATGACATTTAGAAGTTTCCAATTGTGTACAACCCGGGTAAAACACCTATCTGCACCGCACCATTTTGCTTTGTTCCCCATTCCCATCTTTTGGCCTTTGACAACCATTTTTAGTACAGGTCCCAGTCATTATCCACAAGAGAAACAACCAGAAATGACTTTTGGTTTTTCATTTGTGTACAACCCGGGTAAAACACCTATCTACACCATTTTGCATTTTTGCCCTCATTTCCAATCTTTTGACCTTTGACAACCAGGTTAGTACAGGTCCCAGCCGTTACCCACAAGCGAATCGACCTGAAATGACCTTTTGGTGTTTCAATTTTGTACAACCCTGGTAAAGCACCTATCTACGCCGTTTTGCAATGTCTCAGTTGACCTTTGACAACTAGTTTCAGTACAGGTCCCAGTCGTTATCCACAAGCGAATCAACCTGAAGTGACCTTTTGGTTTTCTAATTGTGTACAACCCGGGTAAAACACCTATCTAAACCATCTTGCATTTTTCCCCATTCCCATTTTTTGACCTTTTACAACCATTTGTGTACAGGTCCCAGTCATTATCCACAAGCCAATGAACCTGAACTGACCCAAAGGGTTTTCCCATTTGGGGTGCCCATTTTTGGTACCCAAGGTTCCCATGTCGGGTTCCCATGGTGAATCCCATTTTGGTGAAAACGCCTTCTGCTTCCAGGTCCCAAAGCTCTGGACTCCGTGCGCGGGCTCCTGCGCTTCGCGCCTTGGCTCGCAAAGCCGAAGCCGAAACCGAAATGGGCGGAAGGGGAACGTGCCACAGCGGTTTGCGGTGAAAAGCTATCATTGAAACAAAGGCCGGGTGAGTGCAACAACTTCTATCTGCTGACATGTTTTTTGTTATTACTAATTATGATGCTCCTTGTGGGTGTTAAAGGGAATCAATATTACTACTGGACATGGTCCAATTTTCCTGGGGGCTCAGGCAGATGGAAGACAACCGCCACTATGTGCGGTTCAGGATGGTCATCATCCAAAGTCAAGTGGGAGCAAGGAACCCTAGTGCTTAATCCAACTCAGGCGTTTAGGAGCTTTAGAGTTCATAGCATTCCAATCCGTCACGCTTCTTTTGACTCGAGTTTCGAGCTGTTGGAACTTCATATCCCAGGTAAGTTTAGCCTTTTTCAAGGATTCAACCAATCGCCAACAACTAGCAAACGTTGTTTCGGAGAGATGTGTCACTCATGCACCCTAAAGCTGAACTAAGCCTAAAGCCTAAACCTACAGCCTAAACCAGAAGCCCGAACAGCGCACTGTTACTGGCAACCCACGGGGCGTACAATTAAAAGGTCTCGAGGATGCAAACGTATATCATCTGTACCCGCGTGGTTTCCTCTGCCAACAATTGTGGAAGTGGATCAGGGCCCTTCTCAAGACTTCCAAAACCTGGTCCGCCATGATTCTTGGAGAGGGGGTACCGTTACCCAAGTGGCACGAGTGACCTTTGGGTTGCTTTATAAACCATCCAGAACGGGGAAAGATCCATCATGCTCACTTTCAACTAGAAACATTATTTGGGTGTGTCTTCTTTTGAGGGTGCCCCTTTGATTGGACACTAAAAGGAAAACCTGCCGTTTTGCGGGGGTCCAACCTTGAAACAGACACCCCCCATTTCCCGCTCTCGGTGTCGGATAGGAAACCACATGTTTCAGGGGGTTTTCCATTTGAAAACATTTGAAGACGTTTGAGGGTCCAGGTCTTTGTTTTGGTATTCCTTTGTTGCTAGCCCCGAATTCCTCCTGAGACGCCCGAAGCTTTCCGCGCACAGGGGCAGGAGAGAGCCCACAACATTATCTAGTAAGCCTTTGCGATCCAGTTCCGGGTGTTTGGGATTCAACATTCTTTGGGGGTGTCTTTTGCTGAGGGTACCCTTTTGGAGTTGGTTTAAAGGGACACCAAGACCCGTTGCACCATTTTCGGGGGTCCGATTCCTAAGAAAGACGAGCCGCCCACTGTGACCTGAGGCTGCGTCGCATGACTTGCGGCAGAACTGGCACTTGGACAGCTGCCTCCACGCCTTGGCAGTGCTGGAGGCATCGGACAAAAATGGAAACATATTTTTTATGGGGATCCTTCCATTTGTTTTAAGTAAACACATATTTTCCCCTGTTGGTTTTGAAGGGAATGTACTACCAGGGCCAGCGGAGCTGGGGGCGGAAGTTTCCCAAAACAATTAGATCCTATAGGAAAGGGCAACTCACAACGCCACAAAAATGCAGCCCATCCCCCCGAGTGCCCGCTCGCGCTTCTTTCTTCTGTTGGCTACACGATGATACCCTGTGAGACCCTGTGACCCTGTGGTACCCTGTGATACCCTGAAAGCCTGACAGCAACTTGCCAAAGCCCCTACGTGGATAGGACCAAGCCAAATAGCCAAGTAGCCAAATAGCCAAATAGCCAAAGGCCAAGTAGCCAAGTATTAAATGGTTGCGATTTTCGAGCCCCAGCTGCGAAAGTAAACATCGCGTACTACTTTCGTACTTAAAAGTGTCTATTTTCGAGCTCCAGCTGCGAACGTGGACTGCGCGTACTCGTTTCGTACTTACAAGTTGCGATTTCGTACTTTAAAGTTGCGATTCTAGAGGTCCAGCTGCGAAAGCGGACTTCGCGTACTACTTTCGTACTCAAAAGTACGGATTTTCGAGCCCCAGCTGCGAACGTGGACTGCGCGTACTCGTTTCGTACTTAAAAGTTGCGATTTCGTACTTAAAAGTTGCAATTTGGAAGCCCGAGCTGCGAACTTGTCGACCTTGCTATATCCAACTTTTCTATCTGGCGAGCAATAGTCTTGCCATTCCAATGCGTTTCCTGCGCAACAAGTACATTTTGGTCGCCTTTGGAACTTGTCATTCCAATGCGTTTCCCGTTTGGCGATCACAGGTGGGTCCTTCGCTGAGCGTGCCGTTCCAATATGTTCCAATACGTTTCCTGCCAAGCAGAGCATGTTGGCCAAGGGCTGGTCGCGCCATGGCAATGCGTTTCCTGCGAAAACCATGAAAACGCGCACTCCTATGGAGAACATTTCGAAAACGTTCGCGCACCCGCAGAAAGTCCGCAGAGGGTTTCACCGTTTTGAGGTTTGCGACGCGCTTGATCTTGCTATTCCAATGCGTTTCTCTCCGATTGTGCCCCGAGACCGCCCGCTCTTGCGAGCTAGCCTTCACGCTCGCGGCCATCGCTTTTGCTGGCTATTTCTATGCATTTGCTCTACTTTCTTATCTATTCGCATGCTCAGCTCTTTCGGATTCAACTTTTCGTATGACGGAAGTTAAGCAACTAAACTTCCTTTGACTATAGTTGGGCAGCATGCGTGCAAGCCCAAAACCTACATCGCAAGGAAAACGCCTGCTGTATGGCTGAGTTGCACTTGCTGGCTACGGGCCGCCACGTAGACCAAGCGACGCCAGCAACACACGCCGCCGCCTCCAGCTGCGACTTTGCAATCTGTCCGGTCCCAGTTTTGGGCCCGGAAAATTGCCCCCGCCGAAAACAATTTGAATTGAGGCGGCCCCAATTCTGGGGCTGCCAGACGGACCCAACAGCAGGGCCGCAAGAATGCCGCTTTGGCGCTCGGATTTGGCTGGTTTTCGCAGCACGCAATTTGCAAAATCTTGGGTCGGAACGCTGGCCTGCAGCCGGCTCACACTGCGGCGCTGCTCCCACAGCTGGGTGCTCACCAGCCCGAACCACTTCTCCGCGCGCAACGCTGCAAGGCTCAAGGTGCCAAGCAGCGAACAGATCAGCAAGCAGCCCGCGCGCGACGCCCGCCATCTCAGCAAGCATGTGTGTGTGTACAAACACACAACACAGTCGGCAAACAAGCTTTGCTGCGCAGCACGCCAAAAAGCAAACGTGAGGCACAGCGTGTTGAAGCCAAAAGCTGTGCTTTTCGCGGCGCTGGTTTGGGCCCGAGAATGTCGCCAGAACAACCCGGCGGGCCGGGCAACATCCACCCAGACTCTAGTCGGGGGTTTTGGTTCTGGGGTTGTTTCCAGTGAAGCATTTTCTCATTGTGCGGTGGAACCCTACTGGTGGAACAAATTAAGGGGTTGGTACTTTTTCGACCCAGCGGGTGTCGCGCCCAGGCGCAGCTCCCGTTTGCAGGCCATTTTTAATTTCTAGTTTTTTTGGTTTAAGAAACATATTCCTGGGGTCTGCGCAGCTGGGTTTGCCTTTGTGAGCATCTTGCACGCGCAACTTGAATCAAATGA